TGATATCAAAATTAGCTTCCAAATAACTATGACTAGGCACAGTGGAAAAATTATTGAACAAAAATTAACAGAAATTGAGAAAGGTGCATGAAAAAGCAGGAAACATGCAACAGAAAAAACAAAAAATAAGGTAAACTCTGAGCTGCTGATCATGAACTATAAGCAATCAATAAAACAGAACAAAGACAATATAAGTTAAATGAAATTAACATTTCCACAATTATAAAAGACAAACCACAAAATCCTTTGACATGAAATTAAAATACAAAATGAATTTTTAAACAAAATTATTCATAAACATAAAAATACCATTTAAAAAAACAATAAATATTCAATAACCATTATGTACATATTTACAAAACACCAATTTTTGCAAAACAGTATAAAAAGTACAAATCACCAAAAGAAAATAATTTAATTATTTATCTAAAACGTAATAAAAGGACAGGAACATTAAAAATTTCTCATACATGATATGTGTAAAATTATGGTACAATACCTTAAAAACAAAAGGAATAAAATGCTCTTCATAAAATAACTTATTTATTATATATACATGACACATTACAAAGTACTTCTAGAAACAAATCAAAACTCAATGTGCATAAAAACATAGTAAATGCACAAGGCATACAAAAAAAGTTCAAATAAGAATGCTTACAGATAAATAAAAAGTAAATTAAATGTAGTGAAAAGAAATAAATATACACATTATACTTTTTTTTACACTGAAGAGCTCTACCAGGTTTACTTGAAGCTAATCAGCAGGTCATTAAGAGCTGTAATGAACAACATTCAGCCTTGATAATGGATGCAGAATGCATTCGAAACGCGTCGGCCAACTCATCCACTAACTACAACTTTTACCCGTTGTTCTAACATGCATCAAAGAAACATTAATTTATATTTAAAAACATTTTCTTCGTTTTAGATCTGTATTTGTGCATCTGTTCCTGATTGTAATCTGCTCTTTCTGGGTCACATGTCTGGCATTATCAGGGTCCATCAACTGATCTGTGACTCCGTTAAGGTAAGGTAACCTGTCAATAGTTAGTCGGTTGTCATCGTAAAGTGTATTAAAGTAAGGTAACCTGTCAATAGTTAGTCGGTTGTCATCGTAAAGTGTATTAAAGTAAGGTAACCTGTCAATAGTTAGTCGGTTGTCATCGTAAAGTGCATTAAGGTAACATAATCAGTAAATAGTTAGTCGGTTGTCATCGTAAAGTGTATTAAGGTAAGGTAACCTGTCAATAGTTAGTTGGTTGTCATCGTAAATTGTATTAAAGTAAGGTAACCAGTAAATAGTTAGTTGGTTGTCATCTTAGTGTATTAAGGTAAATTAACCTGTAAATAGTTAGTCGGTTGTCATCGTAAAGTGTATTAAGGTAAGGTAACCTGTAAATAGTTAGTTGGTTGTCATCGTAAAGTGTATAAAACTTGGCAATAAGCAGTTTTATGGTCATATAAAATGTCACTCATTGTTGATACAGTTTGTATTATAGGGTAAACAGTGTCCAGTATGTGTCAAACAATTTTTTCATAGTATCGGGTTGATAGTTTTGATACAGTTTATTGTGTGGTTGAAACAGTGTCCAGTCTGTATCCAACAGTTTTAGCATACTTTTTAACAACAACTAAAAATTTTGGCAGGGAAGAAGTTATCTTCTGTTTTATTTTTGTAACAGGTTTCCATCGATGTAGTTAATTTAAGGGAAAGCTTGATAAATATTTCAGTGATGAGGGCTGGCTTCAAATTTGTTTTTGTTTTTTTAGTGTGTAGTTTAATGTAGGGGACAGGACAGCATAGATGGACCAAAAGGTTTCTTGTTGTGCTTTGATGTTAGGTCATACTTTGCACACCTGGTCGCCTCTATAGGGTCTGTTCATTTAGTTTAACATAGAAGTGAAATAACTCTTGTCCTTCATGGAAATTTCTTATTAAAGAAAAAAAAAAATTTGGAAGTTCCTATTTATTTTGTTTGTTTTATTTTAATTATTAAAATAAAATGAATTTTTTCTAACCACTTTCCATTTTATATGTTAATTTTGAAATATTTTTACTTAAATTAATATGTTTTCTACCATTTAAATGCATCAAATTTTTTGGTTTTAAATAAACAATAGATTTTTAACATATTTTGCTCAGGTTAATGATTTATATAGTTGCAGAAATCATCACCTCTATCTTTCATGATAAATATAATGTGCTGATACTTTTGTTAAGTATAACTTAGTGTTAAACTATTTACATTAGGTTGACAGTGTGATTTAAATTTTGAATTCTAATTATAGAAAAATTGACAAAGAAATGGTTGTTGAAAGCATAAATAAATAGGAATAATAATGTTTAATAAGGCATGAAGCTAAAAGCAACTTGTAACCATATTTTCTTTTCAGTCTTTTATATATATAATTTATTATTAAATCATATTTTGCATTGCCAATAATATTATGTTCTTATTGGATTAAAATAGATTACTTAGTGAGAAATCATGAGTTTGGACAGTTGTTTTTTTTATTTATTAAAGCTAAAGGTAGAAGAAAAGAAACCTTTTGTACAGCTGTGTGGCCATTCGGGTCAAATATCTACTATCCAGATCTGCAAGGGTTATAGCATTGCAGTTAGTGGAAGTGACAATGGACGATGTATTATATGGGATCTCAATAGGTAAGTAAAAGAAACTTCAAAATGTGAGGTTACATTGGCTCTCCAAATTTGTAAAAACTATAGTAAAGTAGTGTTACATAGTGTTACAGTTGTGGAGTGAAATGTTGACAAATATGGCGTAGCAACTAATGGAAGTAAAGACAGGTGATGTTGTGTGAAGTGTTAACTGATAGGACTGTACACAGTGTTACAGTTGTGGAGTGAAATGTTGACAAATATAGTGTAGCAGTTAATGGAATTAAAGACAGGTAATGTTGTGTGAAGTGTTAACTGATGAGGACTGTACACATACTGTTACAGTTGTGGAGTGAAATGTTGACAAATTTTGTGTAGCAGTTAATGGAAGTAAAGACAGGTGATGATGTGTGAAGTATTAACTGATGAGGACTGTACACATAGTGTTACAGTTGTGGAGTGAAATGTTGACAAATATAGCATAGCAGTTAATGGAAGTAAATACAGGTAATGTTGTGTGAAGTGTTAACTGATGAGGACTGTACACATAGTGTTACAGTTGTGGAGTGAAATGTTGACAAATATAGCATAGCAGTTAATGGAAGTAAAGACAGGTAATGTTGTGTGAAGTATTAACTGATGAGGACTGTACACATAGTGTTACAGTTGTGGAGTGAAATATTGACAAATATAGTGTAGCAGTTAATGGAATTAAAGACAGGTGATGTTGTGTGAGGTGTTAACTGATAAGGTCTGTACACATAGTGTTACAGTTGTGGAGTGAAATGTTGAGATAAACATGAATTAACACCGTTTTAGTTTTCATTATGAATCTAAGAACACATATATATGCAATAAAACAACTTGAACCTTTTTCATTGTTTAATTAGTCCTGTACCAGCTTTCATAGTGTTTTTCATTATCTGTGATTTTATGAAATAGCTAAGGTTTGATATTTGTGTATAAGAAAACAGTAAAGTTATACTGGTTACACTTCCTGATTCTTACAAGTGTGGATTGACTACTGAAGTTTCATCATGTCTCGCACAATGTTTTTAATGAACAATTATATATAAACAGTAAAAGATATTATACACACATGTACTTATGTTAAGTAAAATATTTTATTGTTGAGCACAACTTTGTATTCAATGTTTTTAATGAACAATTATATATAAACAGTAAAAGATATTATACACACATGTACTTATGTTAAGTAAAATATTTCGTTGTTGAGCACAACTTTGTATTCAATGTTTTTAATGAACAATTATATATAAACAGTAAAAGATATTATACACACATGTACTTATGTTAAGTAAAATATTTTATTGTTGAGCACAACTTTGTATTCAATGTTTTTAATGAACAATTATATATAAACAGTAAAAGATATTATACACACATGTACTTATGTTAAGTAAAATATTTTATTGTTGAGCACAACTTTGTATTCAATGTTTTTCCTTTTTCTTGTACCTTTCTTACTATGTTTAGAATTAACAACTTTTATCATTCTGTCCAAACATGCTCTGGTAGTTATAGTGATGATTTTGTTCATCTAATAACAAGAGTTCTATACAGTGCATGTTAATTAAACATGGGGAGGGTAAAGAATCCAATTGATTATGGTGTTAAAAGGTCAAAGGTGAAGGTTGCCATTTGTAAAATAATAAAAATTTGGTTTCTCTGCAAAAGAAAGCATAACAACAAAATGCACATACATGTATAGACAAATATTTGTCAAGGCAACAAGGCTAAAACAAACAAAAGAAACTACTGGTTGGAGTAAATCAGCCATTCTGTTTTATGTTTAGTTGTGTGCTTTAACTATAAGAAGGTTGCTGTAGTGAATCACCAAAGTAAAGGGGACTTATCTGTATTTATAGTCAGAGAAGTCTTCAAAATTTAAAGCTGTGTTTCTTAATACTTCTTTTGTGCAAAGACTGTTAATATTTCTGTATTCATGGGAGGCAGAGTAATTTGCTGAATTTTAAAATGTATTTGATGTCAAAAATGTTGAATAAATCAGCCATTGTTTATCTATTGATTTCTCTATTCCAACTCAAAATGAATAGTTCCTTTAATGTGTTCCAGAAAAAGTAAGAATTTATTGGCTAGTGTGCCCAGACAGTGGATGTAAAAAAGTTCTTGATTTGCATCACTTTGCTGCAAAGACACAATCCACACCTTGTGGCCACGGGTGTGACACATTCCACACCTTGTGGCCACGGGTGTGACACAATCCACACTTTGTGGCCATGAATGTACTACAAGAATGACAATTAAATACACTATTTGATCAGACAAGAGTAGCCTAAGAGTTGGAGATGGCGTACTTTGATTAGCTATCTGCCTTCCATCTAGCCCTCATGTAGCTTTAAATATATTGGGATGGCTATGCGAAGAGAGCCCTCATGTTGCTTTATGTCTATTGAGATGGCTCTCCTGTAGCTTTACGTGTATTGGTATGGCCTTCGTGTAGCTTTACGCGTATTGGGATGTGAGATGAGAGCACCACATAAGAGTACTTTAGGTAACCTACCTTTCTTCTTCATATTTTATTTCTTTCATATACTATAAATTTTCTTCAAGTTAAGTGTTGCCTTTGTTTCAGTTTTTATTACATTTCCAGCTATATTTGTACTTTATAGTTTACAACAGAAGGAAGCTTGAAGTGACCAACATTAAACCTGTTTGCTCTGTGTGGTCTTTACTTTCTTGGAATGAATTAAATATATTGAAATATTCTAATGACATATAATTGTTTTCTCTGTTAGAAATAAAACAATTGTGGTAAGTCAGAATGGCATGATATGATAAGGATTTGTACTATTTATCTCATTGTGATATTCACCACACTAAAAATTGATTGATGTATGAGACTGAAAGATCTGAAATAAAATAAACCTTGACTTAGCTATACCCTCTGCTATGGACTACAGTTTTGCTTATTCAAAGCTCATCAGCATAGCTTGGATCAGCAAACCAAAGTTACAGTTAGGTCTCTTATAATGATGAAGTGTATATAAAATATGTGCGGTTTGAGTCCTTTTTAGTTTTCCATACAGTAAATTTAACTTACATTACTATATGGTGAAATAAAAGGGATTCGAAACCCCATAGATGTTGTTTAAACAGCAAGATTTATAATTGTTTCTTCTGTGGTAATGCTAATTCTGTGATGACACAAAATGTTAGATAAAATCTGTTTTTAAAACAATTGATTGGCATCCACTTTAACATTGAAGCAAGTTTTAAGTAATTAGCCAGCAAGTATTAAGTTATTAATGAGGAAAAAATACTAATTCAGTTGTAATAAATAGCTGTAAGTATTCTAATGTTTCCATGTTGTACTGTAGGAGTTAACGTTATATCCCTATTTTGAAACATTACAGTTAGAGATAACAGATATTTTCGTTAAGTAAATAATGAACTGTTTTGATTCCTAAAGGTTATCCTATGTTCGAACTCTCCAGAGTAGTGGACAACCTGTATCTTTGATTGCTATCAGTGAAACATTGGGAGATGTAGCCATTGTCAGTCATATTGGTAAGATCATAATACTTAACAAGTATTGTATACAAGTTATAACTTTGTTATTCATTTAATGTTGCAGCATTGGGAATATTATTATTTAGATCCTAGCTTTTTACTGAGTTATTCATTTAATGTTGCAGTATTGGGGATATTATTATTTAGATCCTAGCTCAATACTGAGTTACTGCAACATTAAATGAATATTGGGGATATTATTATTTAGATCCTAGCTTTATACTGAGTTATTCATTTAATGTTGCAGTATTGGGGATATTATTATTTAGCTCCTAGCTTTATACTGAGTTATTCATTTAATGTTGCAGTATTGGGGATATTATTATTTAGCTCCTAGCTTTATACTGAGTTATTCATTTAATGTTGCAGTATTTGAGGTGCTGTTAAGATCCTAGCTTTGTACTGAGCAGTCTTCTACTGATTAAACTGTATCCATGCCATCATTTGACAGCATGGTGGGGAACAAAGATTATCATCAATCAGAGTCTGTTACATCAACATATGGTCTCTGTGATATGAATGTGTCAGGTCCAGGTAATGTGTGACAGTTATGGTACAATAGTATGTGTGAGGTAATGTGTGTCAGTTATGGTACAATAGTGTGTGTCAGGTAATGCGTGTCAGTTATGGTATAATAGTGCGTGTCAGGTCCACGTAATGTGTGGCACTAATGATGCATTGTCTTGTGTGTACTGTGTGGCACTAATGATGCATTGTCTTGTGTGTACTGTGTGGCACTAATGACGCATTGGCTTGTGTGTACTGTGTGGCACTAATGACGCATTGGCTTGTGTGTACTGTGTGGC